TAAAAAAGAGAAGCCTATTTAAATTTTATGACAGAGAAACGATATGTTTTGCTATTGGAAAATCATTTTTTTTATCATTAATTAAATTTTCAAGGACTACGGAGGCCTGGGTGGAATTTGCCTCGCTAGTGGTTCCGGGTTCAAATCTCGCCAGCTCATGGCTTTTTAATTGAGATGGAGTATGGAAAAGTAATGTAAAGAGGTTTTGGCCATATGTCCTCTTTTTTGATAGGAATTTCTTCCATTAAAATTTTACTAATCAAACTAAACAATTGATACTGTTGTGAAAAGTTTTATCGACCTTCAATGATTCAATTTCTTGGATGTGTTGAGACCAAGGTTGTCAGAATTTATTAAAGATTAAAAATAATTATCAACGACATCAATTTTTTATTTATTTCTTTAATGCGTTGGAATCGGGGGTTTGATTTTTAAATATTATATTATTTTTAAGCATTAAGTTGGGCGTTGAATACACACCTTGAATTTAAATTGATAATTCAACCCTACATGGTACTGACGAAGACCGCGCAGTTGGCAAAAAGCTGGAACAAGGGGGAATAATTGTCTAATTTTCCGAAGAAAAGGGACCCTAATTCCAAAACATCCAAGAAATTAAACAATTGATGCCTATGTTATTTACTTTTAAACTTTAGTAAATTCTGACACTATTTATCAATTTAATTATTAATTATTTGAGCATAATCATATTTTATTGTATTATATAATGATCGTTTGTTCTTTATAATCCCTTTACGCCTATTTTCATTAATTCAACTGGGTGAGGCAATATGCTAAAACTAATAGGAAATCACTAAAAGTTGTTTTATCCATATTATTAACCTTTCCGCGTTTTTGATCTATTTAGTCAATAAAACATTTACACAGTGCTCATTGATGAGAATTCATTATTATATTAATTTTTTACGACCTTGAAAACATTTATTCGTTGCTAAGGCGTATGTGTGCTGTTATGCTACAAGCTATTCAGAGTTTTAACATTCGCGAGAGCATGGACAATAAAATCCCGAAATATTTTATTGTTGTTTAGGTGTTATTTAATTTTCTTACTGTATTTGTTTTGTTTTTTTAATAATCCACGTGGCTCAAGTTCTGTAAAGAGTAAGAAAAGAGAATTACTTGCAACATTTCATTATGTAAATTATATATTATGTATGCATTACTTGTTTTATCATCTTGGACGCACACATACTCGTTAGAACGGGTAAGAAGTAAATCGTTCGTTTATTTGAGTAATCGAAGTTTTTCAAATAATAGGTTTTTTAAATTACATTGTATGATCTTTGAAAAACTTAGTATTTCCAATCAGATAAACCTAAACTATAAGAAAAAAAATTATAAAGCACTAGTTGAAAAAATCTTTGTGTTTTGTTGTTATCCTTGTTTCTTTTATATGGATTCTTTAATTTTTGTTATTTTACGCCTTATCTTGAAGGTGTTTTTAAAATATTTGGGAATGTACAACATTTCGGTAATCTTATAATATTCTCAAGTACATTGATGTATTTCTTTTTGTTGGTAAAAATAAAACAATTTTAAAACATTCCTAATTTTTTTAATAAAAACGGAACAAAACTTACCTCATATCTTGAGGAGAAACTGTACCCATCTGGAGTGTTTTTAGATGTTTCTCCGATTTACGACAAAAGTGTGGCATGAGGGGCTATTACACAAATTAAAACTATTTTTTATCCCAATTATCTGATTATACAATCGTACCTCAAGGAGAGATTTTTCGCAGTAAACCAGGGTTCAGAAAGTTATGAAATGAAGGAAGTGCTCGCAGGTGTGCCACAGGGGTCAATACTCGCTCCGCTGTTGTACAAAATTTTTACTTCTGACACGTTCACCAATGGGAATGCACTTACCGCCACATACTCGGATGACGCCGCCATATTAACAAGTCACTTATCTTCTCCACAAGCTTTCCTTACGTTACGTACCTACATGTCAAAATTTGAAAAAGAAGACATTTATGGAAAATAAAGTTTAACTCTTGAAAGTCAAACCACATCACCTATACATTACACCGTTGGACATGTCCTCGCTTGTACAATGAACCTCAATGTGAAAAAGTTACCTATTTTTTACTTAAATTTGTTAGGAGAATAACTTGGAATTGCACATGCGTTTAAAAAAACGGACACTTAACAAATAATTTAAAATATACTAGCAACTAAACTACAATATTACCATTAAAATCAAAACTTTGACATATACACATTGACTCACACAAATATGTATGTGTGCTTTGTTTCCGGATCGGCAACTTTTTCAGATATTCAAAGATTATGAAGTATTCAGTAAAACATTTTAAAAATAAATCTTCTAAAAAATTAGAAATAATGAATTATGCTTGAAAACAGCACAAGATTGTTGAAACGTTGTACACTGAAACACTAAAACTAAGTAAAAATACTCTCAAGAAAAGGCTTAAAAATAATAAAAATTAAAGTAAATTATTGCCCACTAAATATAAATTTAAAATTCAAGTACCCAAGTTTGAGAGGATTGCTTTAAAAAAAAAAAAAACATGGAACAGAAACAGGAATTGCGGAGTGATCAGGTTGAACATTGTACATCATAGTCAGGAGTTTTCGATATATTTCATATTTGTCGTCATACATGTATAAAATCGGCATAAACTCAAAATTTTGACAGACCATTAAACGGATTCTAATTTCTCAACATCAATTGCTTGAGTTCAATTTTTTTAAATTTATGAATTGGTAAGGTTATAAAATTATTTATTAGATATTTTTTTAGTCAAGTTCTGGTTCCCCTTGGAGTGTGCCCGCTCCTTTTTTCTTTGAAATGCATCCATAATAGCATTTGTTTTGGATTGATTCCCTAAGAAAAATTTTACTTGTTTTTCGGTAAAAGGGGTAATTTTTTATTTGATAAAAGACAATTTTTATTTTGTTTCTTACCGGGTCATTATATTTTAAATAAAATTATATTTCTTTTCCCCCCGTTCTTGTTTAGATTTTAGAGTTGTTTAATCGACGGCTCCTATACAAACTATAGATTAAAAAAAGTTCTGTAAGTATGATGTTTTGTTTTAGAAAAAAAGAAAAAATCTTTCTCAACGTTCTGAAAATGATTATTGTTTAGAAATGAGGAAATTTTAACGTTTTAAAAGTATGATTTCAAAAAAATCAACATTTCCCTTTCGAACGTTCTTAGTTTTTTTGAAAAAAAAATTCCCAACTTTCTCAATGTTTGACTTTTTGTTTAGAGAAAAGAAAGAAACTTTTACGTTCTAAAACTTTGATTTTTTTTTCTTGTAGCAAAAAAGCAAATTTTCACAACGTTCTGAAAAAGTTAATTTTTGTTTTATAAGAAAAATCCGAATTTTCGCAAACTTTTAAGTTTGATTTTTTTTAAAGAAAAAAGCAAATTTTCACATTCTAAAAGTTTGATTTTTGGTTTGAAAAAGGTAATTTTTTACCTTTTGGAAGGGATTTTTTTTTGGTTTTACAAAAAAAGCAATTTTTCAGAACGTAAATTTTTGATTTTTGTTTTAGAAAAAAGTTTTCTCAACGTTTTGAAAGTTTCATTTTTTGTTTAAAAAATGCAAATTTCCACGTACTAAATCTGTTTTTTTAGTTTTAAGAAAAAAAAAGAAAAAATTCACGTTCTTAAAGTTTCATTAAAAAAAAAAAAACGCAAATTTTCAAAATGTTCTAAAAGTTTGATTTTTATTTTAGAAAAAAAATTTCACGTTTTGAAAACTTGACGTTTGTCTAAGAAAAAAAACAAATTTTTCAGTTCTGAAAATTTAATTTGTGTTAAAAAAAATCATATTTTCACAGCGTTCCATTTTCCATTTGAAGTTTGATTTTTTCTTTTAGAACAAAGCAATTTTCAATATTTACATAGCTCAGTTTATTTTCTACATTTTTCGGAAATAATATAAATTTATTTCGCACTGAACCGAGAAGCTGAGAAAATGGGTCAGCCATGAAATATGAAAATTACGAAAGGTTGAGTGGAAAGCGTCACGGTGGTGGACTGAAAAACTTGTTTATAGCTATCTCGATGACGGGGGAAGGAAGTTAAACAAAGAAGAAAAGCAAACCGATTTATACAAATAGTATCGATAGATAAAAAAAACACGCCTATAAAACCTGAGGAAAACAAACGTTTTGTCGCGTTGGATACTGAGGAGAAAAATGATTCTGGTCAGCCTATTTTCGCTTTCTTCTCCATCTGGTACATATATGGCTTATTCGATCTGCCGACTAGTTCGTTCATATTTCTTTCAACTTTATTATCGTTTACACGAGATATCACGTAAAAGCCCTTGGAAGAGAAAATACGGAATATGAATATAATTTTATAAACTCGCTTGCATCAATAATTTATACACTTGCAAATACGGGTCTTTTTAAGAAAGCCTTTAGGTCAAAGGTTCCCTCTATGTTTGGTATCGCCGAGTCATACATTTTAAAAACAGTCAAATGTCAAAGTACACGCAGTAGAGCAATATTCTGACTTTTTTTGTGTGTGTGAGATTCTTTAATTTCCGAAATGTTTAACAAAACCGGTAAGGCGAGATGTTTCACTTTCCCCGTTTCTAGTATAATCTAGGACATTAATATTTGTAGAACATGAAAGTGGAAGCCATTTCATTTAGGTTATTATCTAAAAATGGACATTCTTTAAGAATTAACAGATGTTATTGATTCCTAATCTTGCAATAAAAAAGAAATTATTCTTTTATAAAATAATAAATACACATATAGTTCGTGCTTCGACTGCAAAAGACTAAATTTTGACATGCTCACTATCAAAAAATATTTATTCAAAGTGGCAGGTATTGTTTATTTGTCTTTTTTACTTTCCTCTCTTATGATATTGAACTAATTTTTCATGCACATTATTATATTCTATGAAATAATATATAGCGTAATTACTTATACACAAACATGTTAGTTAAAAAATGTGGTATTGTCTACGGTTGTGGCATTACTCACAAAAGTAGCTGTTTAGGAATCCAAGAATTCTTCTATCTTCAGCAGTTCAATGACCGAAAGTGCTGAAAATCGCTCGGATCGCGTCAAGACGAGAATGAAGACGTTTACGTTCACACTGGAAGTTAAGTGCGCAAATTGACGTACGAAAAGAACGAAAAACTGAGAACTTACTACTCAATGATACGGCTATACGATGGCGAATAATAACACTGGCCCGGAGGAAGAAGTTTGACTAGTTCGACTCTACCCCCACTAAGAATCTTCGGCTCCTTTCATTCTTTACTCTCAGTTGCAGGTGAACGACGGTGAAATTCCTCGCAACACCGCTAGTTTCGACATCTTCAAGAATCGTGACAGTCCTCTCTTCTTTTGAGTACATGACATATTCATGGCCTCTGCACCCAGTCGTATTACTGTTTCCATACTGCATATTACAGACAAACCGAAAACAGAGAGGCGATTACCTAATAATAAAACGAAATAGTAGAAAAATAATGGGTAGCAAGTAATTTGATGCACCATCAACACGCAGGTCACTAGAGATTGACTTGACTTGAACAGTTTATTCAGAAATATTCTGCACTGTCTTAAAGTTAAAATATAATGCTAGAAATTTGGAAAATAATCGCTGAACTTAGTTATTAAGTTTTTTATTTAGAAATCGTGAGATGCGGTCTGGTGTGATGTAGGTTTCAGAAAAACATTTTCTTTATCGTGCTAACGTTTCGATCTTTATTGAGATCATCTTCAGGGCGTTAGTTATTAAGGCGGCTCCAGACATGCGGTATTCGTCCAATGCCGCGCAAATTTTCGCCGAATCCCGATTAGTGTGGATGGACGTTCGGATATTCGCCGAATAACAACATCCGGTGCTCGCCGAACTCAGCTTTTTGTCGGTTTTCTTGTCCGCTTCAAAGTGCACTAATGTTCGTGAAGTAACCGCACTCAAACCATCCACACATCCGGGAATCAACTATAGCTGTACATACCTTTAACCTTCTGACAACTGTTATCAAAATCAACAGTAAGCGTATACTTCTATTTAATACTATTTATTTTTCATTAATAAACGATTGCTAACTATTATAGGTGTTTTAATTAACATGATAACAATTGTTTTTTTTATTAGGAGTGGATTGACCCAATGCAACAGTTTTGGAGATCCTCGATGTTTACGAAACAGAACCAATAATTTAGAAAGCTTCTCTTACAAATCATAAATTGTTTTATAAATAAAGCAATAATTAAAAATATAATTAAATATATTTGTCAATTAGCTTGTAGCCACTGCACAAAATATTAACCGCGGCGGCAGCAATGACAGTTTCCTTGTTGTTCATCACGATTTGTAGTAATTTGAAGACTCCTAAGGCATTTGGAAAATACTAATTCCCTATTTCCGCAACAATTAGGTTATACGAAACCCGTGTGTATACGTAGGCAGGCTATTTCAAGAATGCCAAGACGAGCATCTAGAGAAGGCAAATATTGGGCGGCAGTCGGCATTCGGCGAATACCGCATGTCTGGAGCCGCCTTTAGACTATACAAATTGCAATTGCTGAAGGTTGCTCCCAAGAAGGGGTACTATCGCCACTTCTTTGGTTGCTATTAGAAGATGATCTGATCCAAGAATTTAACGAGTTTGGATATCATACCATTGGTTTCGCAGATGACCTGATAACAATCATTAAAGGAAATCACTATCAAATCAGAAGAAAAAAGTCCTAAATATTGTAGAAAGATGGTATATAGAGATCTAGTTAAATGTAAAAGGATATATATAAATACTGGGTGTCCCAGTTCCTTCTGACGAAACTCAGGGAATCGATTCTACTCTTCGTTTGGAGCAAAAAATTCTCAGGGGAAAATTTTCGGAAAGTTCTCTATTTTGAAGATATTCGTCAATTTAGGTTTTTTCAACTTTTCACTACCTTACACCATTAAAAACGCGTATAACTTCCAAAATGTTGAGACTACAACAAATCCAATTACACCATTTGAAAGAACGCTAAATTTGCTGTAAGATACTTCTATTTTCAATAATCTGAATGACATAAAATGTTAGCCAATATCAGTAGGAACATGTCAAAATTACAAAATATAAGGTAAATTTGAAGGGGGGGGGGGTAGAAATTCAGAAAGTCAGTTATGCATTCGAGAAGAGGGAAAACACTTTGAGCATTTCCTTATCTTACAGTAAATTCCAAATCTTACAGTAAATTTAGCGTTCTTTCAAATGGTGTAATTGGATTTGTTGTAGTATTACATTTTTTTCCTTCTTCAAAAAAAATTAATAAAGCTTAAAAGTGGCGGGACGAACCGAGAAGAGAAGCCCGAGAAGCAGGAAGCAATTCGCGGCCTGCAAGATTCTGATCGGGATGGCACTGGGTCAGAGATTGGAAAAAAAAGAAACGGAAAAAAAAGCAAGGAGGATCGGTTGGGGATAGACGTTGTCTCCGCTAGCAAAAGAGAATATTGTTTTTCAAAAAAGTGAATGTGTGTGTGTGTTGTTTGTGAACCGATCGAAGAGTTGTTACGAAGAGGAACTGGCTGATCCCGTGATTTGATACAATTCAAATTTATCATCAGGCCTGATAATTCGGGACTAGAGACGTTAATTATAAGTTTCGGCATTTTGATAGTTTTAATTTAAAAATATTTGTCAATGAATTATAAATAGAATAGTGTTGTTAGTATCATCGTAGTTTTTTTTTTTTTTTTTTTTTTTTTTTTTTTTTTTTTNTGGGTCAGAGATTGGAAAAAAAAGAAACGGAAAAAAAAGCAAGGAGGATCGGTTGGGGATAGACGTTGTCTCCGCGAGCAAAAGTGAATATTGTTTTTCAAAAAAGTGAATGTGTGTGTGTTGTTTGTGAACCGATCGAAGAGTTGTTACGAAGAGGAACTGGCTGATCCCGTGATTTGATACAATTCAAATTTATCATCAAGCCTGATAATTCGGGACTAGAGATGTTAATTATAAGTTTCGGCATTTTGATAGTTTTAATTTAAAAATATTTGTCAATGAATTATAAATAGAATAGTGTTGTTAGTATCATCGTAGCTTTTTTTTTTTTTTTTTTTTTTTTTTTTTTTTTTTTTTTTTTAATATCGTATTCTAAACTCTAAGTAGACTAAATACCCTAACAAATCTTCATGTGTTAACGAATTAAGAAGCAGGAAGAACTTCATAATTTCGCTCCCAGCATCCTGGTTGGAAGCGCCATCAGGAAGAAGAGCGCCAGAAGCGCTGCATCGCTACCCTTCTTTTTTTCCCCCTTCTTCCGATCGTCCTACTTTTCTTTTCCTTTTATCTCCTGGTTTCGGTATTCATCCTTACCCAAAAATACCGTGGCGCTCAACACTTATAAAAAAAAACTTCCACCTCTTCACCGACCATCACTTGTCTCTCCCTTCAACACGTTCCCCCCTTCTCCACTGAGCTACCAACAACGTAAGCTGTAACAGTAGTCTCAACATTTTGGAAGTTGTAAGCGTTTTTAATGGTGTAAGGTAGTGAAAAGTTGAAAAAACCTAAATTGACGAATATCTTCAAAATAGAGAACTTTCCGAAAATTTTCTCCTGGGAATTTTTTGCTCCAAACGAAAAGTAGAATCGATTCCCTGAGTTTCGTCAGAAGGAACTGGGACACCCAGTATAGGGAAATTGAGATAAAGAAGAAGGTATGTAAATAGAAAGAGATATGGATAAATAGAGCGAGAAAGAGATTCGTGTAGATAAAAAGGTAAAAAATAAGGAAGGAGATTAATAGATGGATAGAAGTGGAATAAATAGTCGGAATGTTAAGTAGATAAATAAAGAAAGAGATGAAAGTACATAGAACGGACATATAATTAAATAAAGAGATTAGTACAAGTAAATGGATAGATAAAAAGACAGGCATAATCAATGAACGAGAGAAAAGGGAGGGATATAGATAGATATAGATGTAGGTAAATAGATAAGGAATAAATATATTGATGTAATCAGAAAGAGAGTTAAATATGTAAATAGGTAGAGGTAGAGATAGATAGAGAGATTAGTAAAGATCGGTATGTACAAAAATAGATATCAAGTGAAATAGAAAAAGGGAAGCTGTGACATATACAGGCTGTATCAACTTTTACAGTCCTCCATTTTAATTCGGAAACGATTAAATTTAGCAAAAAATAGACTTATATAAACACCATGTTAATTTTTGCTAGAAATCGCGCGGTGGTAACAGATTTAACATAACTTTCTCATCGAGCTGGGAAATGAAACTAAAGTAGTTATTTTAAATGAGAATTCCATATTTCTATTGTTCAATTCGATTTTAGAGCTTATTTTATGCCACTTTTCCTGAAGGAAAATTTTTATAGGTTCGACCATTTCTAGTTTTGTCCGACGGGGTATGCTTTTTTGTAACAAGATGGCCCTCCTCGTTTATTTCGGAAACGGTTAACTTTAGCAAAAGTGGTCTTATACAAACATATAAAACCGTTAATTTTTTTGTTAATTTTTGTTACAAAAAAGCACATCCCTGAACACGTCTTCCGTTGGGCATAACTCAGAAATATCCGATTTTATAAAAATCTTCCTTTCAAAAAAGTAGCATAAAATGAGCTCTAGTGTCATTCCCTAGCTTAAGGATAGAGTTATGTGAAATCCGTTACTACCACCATTTCTAACCAAAATGAACTTGGGGTTTCTATAAGACCAATTTTTGCTAAAGTTAGTCGTTTCCCAATTAAAGGGGTGGACTACAGGAGTTGTATATTTACATTTATTACTTATTTATATAACTAGAGCCACATAAAAAGGAAGAGATAACTAGGTATGGAACTCACCTTCAGTCACTTTTATAACCTCTTTTTCACCAATCAGTCAACTACCCAGTGGTATGATATCTTTCTCTCTAACTCTCTCTCTCTCTCTCTCTCTCTCTCTCTCTCTTTCTCTCTTTCTCCCCGTCTCACTCTCTCTCACTCTTTCTCTTATTGCCCTTCTCGCTGCTTAATATATTATTTATATTTGTATTTCAACTAGACTGACATCGAACTATTAAAAATAGCCCAGCGTGTAGAATTTGACGAGATTATTTCAAGTCCGTTGATGCTTCCTGGTTCAAATTTAATTGTATTCATCAGTCAAACCATTGCTCACTTCATAAATCGTGTATTTTGTGAATGACCAATAATAAGTTGTTGCGCAATGGTTTGTATAATTTAAACCTTGCTAATATT